TTCTCGTTGTCCGGCCCTTCTGAAAGGTTCGAAACGCACTGCCAACAAACGCACTGACATGATCCGACATGATCCCTTGTGTACGGAGTTTCTCCAGCCTTCCACTGCTGCAGTGCACAACTCGCCGGCCATCTGTGAAAGTGCTTTAGCCTGCAAGGTGTTTTCAATGTGTTTGCAGCAGTTTGGACCCTTTCAGCACAGCGCAGGTGATGAAAGCTTGCTTTACAAAAGGAATGCCCAAATGTACCACAAGTGGACAAATCTAGATCTAGGTCTTCACTTTGTGGACAGGTCTGGGTGTTTCCACAGCCTTTGCCTTTGCCTTCTCATCGCCTCAGGCTGGGCGAGGTTGAGAGCAAAAAAACACCAAGCGATGCAATGGTGTATAAGCAGACTGGCCTGCACAAAAGATTCAAAAATAGGATATCTGCTCAAACTTAATCACAACAACCGTTCTGAACATCTGACATGTCTTCAGAATACAAATATTGCCCAACGGTCTCGAAATCGTCGTGAATTACACCGAGAATACATGAACATGGTGCTAAAAGGGGCCTCGCTTCGAAGACCTGTGAAGTAAGGTGAAAACTTTTTGAGGGGAATCGTCTGGTATACTTTCCGGTATATTTGCTTATATGATATGCATACAAACAATGTTTGAGACATACCAAGACCTTTGTCCTCAGCATGCGCACGCGCACAGCGCACGCGCGCACAGCGCTCTTGACGCTGTGCGTCTGGTTCGGCGATTCCACCGAGGCGATGACTCTTGGCTCCTGAGGCCTCAGAGAGTGGCGACTCGAGGGGGGCACCCTTCTCAAGACTTTTGATAGGGGCGCTAAACGGTGAATTCTGGAAAAGGAGTGCATGTCCGTATCACTGGTAGCAAGGTTGAGGAAGTCGTGCCTCAACAGTGGGGAGCGGAATCAAAGATTTGGAACATACTGCCAGGGCTGCGGAAGATAGAAAAGCATAAACAAAAAAAGCGAGTAACGATTCTATAGAGATCACTCGCGACAAGTATCCATGAGTCAAGGTTTCGAGATAATCTATTTAAGTATATATATTAGGGGGAAGTTTCGAAAGGTAGAGAATACTAGAGAATACTATTTATATTTTTGAAATGTAAGAGTTCAACCAAAGGACATAATGTTAAACACATGTATATAAGATTTATAGAACATAGTACCACATGACAGACCACACTTCGCTTTATCACCAATGATCCAACTACACATCGCCGCATCAAAAAAACACTGTGCACTTCACCCCATAGCAAATCAGCACATTGCTCTACACTTCAACACATCACAAATCACCTCAAACATCATCACCTAACTATTCAACTCTTGGTCACACAACTCACATTCCTCTAGTTTATCTACATTAAAACTTCCGCCCACCAGATGTGCCGGAGCTTGCCTCGCACCTGCTTGAGAAGCAATTCTTTGTGGTGTTTGACTCCAGTCCAAATTATCCATGCTCATTTGCCGGCGATTCAGCACCAAGCCTCTGTATGGACTGAGGTGAGCACGAATGCAACTTCCATCTTAAAAGTGGGTGTAGCTTCCTGCAGAAGCTTGCAAAGCCCTCGGAACTGCTGTGCTTTTAATCTAGGGGATGTCATGATGCATGTTCTTGGGTTCCTGAAACACCTCAAACAAATGCCAATCGAACTCTCGATGATTTCGTCAGATCGAGCGCACGTGAACCGCGCGGCGTGAACGTGAACGGCGCGTCGCGCAGCATGAGCTGCATCTCCTGGTCTCCCAGTTCCACTCCACCACACTGGATGAGGTTGGTTTGGGGAGGGGTGTCCTCGCTGGAAGCAGGCCTGATGCTGAGAGTGTCGGACGATGGGGATGTCGGATGAGGGCTCGAGTAAAGGGATAGAGCCAGCTGGGTGAAGGGTTTCACTCCGTGACCTACCTCTTCGCACTTGCTTGCACGTCGAAGACCGTGTTCCAAGCAATGTGTTTCTGGGAAAGCCCTCTCTAGGCCCTAGGCCTACCGTATCCTACTCTGCTGAACTGCCGTATAACACCCCCCCATGGCCCAACTCCTCGGCGAGCCTGGTAGTGCTTGCTTCGCCAATCAGATCAATTTGATTGCCACTAGCGCTCAGCTTCAGAGCTCCTAAAGGTGAACTGAAGCGTGTGATTGAATCCTCCTCCAAATCGATGTGGAGGTTTTAGAATGTTTTCAGGCTAAAACATGTGTTTGTTTCTAAAACATTGGATTCTCCACAATGTTTTTGAAAGTTTGATGACAACATATATTCCATTTGGCCATGTTGTCAGCCACTCCAAATTATTTGGCATTGTGAAGCCCGGCCAAGACAATTCAGCACTACGAGGCCAGGTGGTCGATTTTCAGCGGAAATCGCGATGGGTTAGCCGTCCTCCTGTTGGGTCGTGAAGGCCAGGACTAGGCATTTGCAGCTGGTGTAGATATGGACAGAAAAGTAAAAAAAACAAAAGAAGCATCTACTATAGAATATTATACCATGGATATCATGTCTCATCTATGGATTTCCTTTTGCATTCAATGCACAACGATACCAGCGTGTCTCGCCAAACCCGGTGCGTGCAAAACAGAACTCGCTGCACACACCGGCGCCTACATAAATATATATATATATATATTATAGATAGAGATAGACATAGATTGTGATGGTTCGACTCAGCTTGGCTGAGTTCACGGCTTGCAATTGCCCATCAGCTTTGCTTGCTAACGTTCCAATCTGACAGCTGGGCCTGCCACTCAGTTTGGCAGAAGGCCCTCGGCTGCGCACAAATCCCTCCATTGACAGAGTCAAGATGAACGCACAAGGCACCAAGATCGCGGCCAGTGTCGACACGAGCAGACTTGAGACTCCGTCTCAAGACCCAACTACTCTACTAATTGTTCGTTTGGAGCCAAGATCCAGAATGTGCACATCTCATCGAAGCCATACCATCACAAAGGGTGACAGAGGCAGATGCAAAAAAAACCAAAAGATCCATAAGATTTGGTTGTTGCACATCCAAGTGATCTCTGTGCAAATCCACCTAATGTAGCATCAAAGAACCAAACCGCACTTTGGGTGGATGTTCTCGTGGCTCCAGTGCTGGAGTGAAACGCTGAATGCTGTTTAGCGATGGCCTCCAACCTAAGAGATTCCCCACGAATCCTTGTTCCTAGTAGTAAGGCCAGGAGCCCCTAGTAGCGTCCTTGCTCCTAGTAGCGATGCCAGTAGCTCTCTTTAGCATGCGTTGCTTCACAATATGATATTTGCAGGGGGGCGCTCATGCTATCCACGCCACGCTCTTTTAGCGCATGACAGAAATGCGGTTCCCATCACATCGTACCAGACCAGAACTCGGCCTGAACTCGATGTCGAACCTGGGCGGTCTATAACAGTGAAGGCCGGACATGATGCGCTAAACTCGAACAAGGCCCTCGGAAGGCCTTCGAGATTTCTTCACCAGGCATGTTCACCAAGAGCCCTCTTCTGTCTTCTATGAGACATCATTCTTCAGACGAGTAGGGCAGCTCATGTGTGTTCAGTGGCAATTGTAATCTCCAACATGTGACACCTCTGTGGTGGGAAACTAAAACTTGTCTTATTCAAATGCAGATGTCCTCCAGACCCACGATGTTTGTGCGCTAAACAATATGTTTATATACTGTCTGGGACAGTGACAGCTTGGTTGTGACCCCCGAATCTTCACTTCAAGAGGATTTCTTTATATATATTTCTTTGCTTTCAATGCATTCCCTGGAACGGGAGGGAAATTGAAGCTCCGGACATCATCAAGCTGCTGGAGAGGAAGAGCGGCTGCTGCCTGCTCAAGCATTGCAGCTGCCAATCTGGAGACCGTTGGGTTTCTTTTGGAGGTAGAGAAATGTTTGCAGCTTGACGGCGATGGCAGAGCTGCGAAGCAAGTTGGTGCACATCCCTGTTGAACTCTCAGGCAACTCTTTATCACGACCTGTGCCTCACGACCTGTGGCGGCAGCCGCAGCAGCTGCTACTCTGATCAAAGTTGGAGGCTTTGCCTTCTCATGCATCAATGATCATCAATGCATATGTTGCATCTATCTTGGCCGTCCAGATGGGTTTCTAGTACTTGCTCCAAGCTAGCAAAATCACAGTCTGAAACTTGAGCCACAAGCAAAGCAAATGGAGCAGAATTGAACAAAGCTTTAGAAGTCCTGCCTGCTTTGCTGCGATCATGGGGACAGAGACAGCCCTGCATCAAAGACAACCCTTGATCTGTGGTGACGGCAGCTCTTTAGAAAGACTAAGAGCGTGGAATCTGGCCTGCAGCCTCCACATTGGGTTGGCTGAGCCATGGTTAATGGAACGGTGGCACGTTGCCTGGCGTGATGGCTTGCCTTGACTGCTTCCTAATCAAAGAGTGAAAAAAAATAACATTGTTTCAGGATCCTCAGTGACTCAGGATGAAATGTTCAAAACAATCTTGGTCTTCAAGCCCTTAGAGCTGGAGCCTGTGTTTGAGACATGAACGTCAGAAAGTCTCCGCTATGCACCTTCTGGTATGGCACGTGAGGCACGTAAGGCACGTGGTTTTCACTCGACAAACCTTCCCGACCTTGGGGGGGAGGTCGACCTTGCTTTGCCAAAGTTGTAACCTCAGCGACTATGGAGCTGGCCCAGCTTTTGAGGACCACAGCTACCGAGGCCCGTGACATGGTATTGGAGAGTGGATCAACCTCAGTTGAGGGCCAGCAATCCGGATGTCAGACCGGGGAATTGGAAGGCCATGGCCTTCGCTTCCGCATCGAAGTCTTGTTCCGTACTTATCAGAACATACCAGTTGTAGTAAAGTACCACTTATAAATGATCTGAAAGAGTGGGAAGAGGAGAAATGACATACCATCTATACACATCTATACACTACCACCGAAAGGTATCGCATCACCACATCCATTCACATCCACGACTGCCGTGACGAGGAGCACTCTGTGAGATGAAGGAGATGCAGCTGGCCAGCGGGGTGACATGGCCTGACAACTGCAAACTTCGTACTTCTGGTCAAAAGAGTAGAGATGGGCATCCTGAGCATCCTGCCTGGGTCGCAAGTTGCTTGAGGGTGTGAAGCCTGCCACTTTGCTGGTCAAAGCAGTTGTGTTGGACACAAAGTCTGCCATCTCGATGCTCAAACAGAGCCATCCAGCCTCTCATGTATGCGGACCTCAGTGGGCCCAGAGCCGAATAGGTCCAAATAGGTTCAATAGAAGTGATTCGGATCAAACACGCAAGTCTAGACAGATTGGTCCGAAGGGGTGTCTTCCTGAGTCAGTGAGAGTGTTTCCGTGACAAAGTTTCACTTCACATCGCATCCATGGTTCCAGTTTGACTTTCATTGCTCTCAATGCAGGAGCTCTCTTCTTTTCCAGCTCAAAAGGCCGCGTTTTGACGCCCATTGATGCAGCACTGGTGACAGCTGCTCCTGCGCTGCTACCAAAAAATTGCATCCATTCAGTAACTGATTCGTTCCAAAGCAGCCGGTTATGGCCAGATCGTTGAAACACAGTGTTGAAACACTTTCAACTCCGCTGACTCAGCCACCATTCTGTTACAGCATTCTTCGGTTCCATCAAGTTAAGGTCTAACTGCGTGTAAAGGTCTACTGCAGTCAAGTGGGACTTCATCAACTGATACTGCTCTTGCAAGCCTTTATCTAAGTGTGTGCGTGTGCGCGCAACATGTGTCGAACATGTTAGTTACTGCAGTTCCTCAAATATTATTGAATAGCATTGGCGATCCACAATCTTCCGTGCGGATTCTTGATGCATAAGAATCGTAAGATTCTGCTGGTGTCCTCCAGGTCCACCCAATCTTGCCGTTGTACTCGCCCGGCTTTCAGACTGCTGCGCCAACACAACCTTCAACGATTTCTTTATGAGGATTGACATGTCATGCTGTCTGTGGTGCCTTTCTGTCTTTGGCTATCCTGGCTTCCCGGCCGATCAATTTCAGCTGCAAAGCCCAGGAACCTCAAAGATCGGTTGAAGATCAGAGCCGCCCGGAGAGCTCACCCAACTCTCGGAGCCGAGCTCACCAGGCACTGGCTGCACGGGTCTGTGAAGAAGTCGTGGGCTACAAGTCACAACCTACGTGGGCCAGATGGTAAAAAATCCCGTTGCCCATAGAGTATATATTGCAAATGGATGCAAAAGGCTTTGCTGCGCAGAATGGCAGACAACATGAAAATCTCAGATAGGAAGTACTGTAGTCTCGTATGGTCTTCTACAGGGAAATGGTTATCATGTCGAACCAAGGCTGGAAGCCAGCGTCAAGAATAGTGTTGGACGGAAGACTTTGGGGAGCTTGAAGCTTGCTCACATCTGCTATGAAAATGATGACCTGTAAAGTCATGGTCAGCAAAAAATCGAGAAAGTCTTGAAAAGCGCACCATGTTGACTGGCCGTTCAAGGCAACACATACGGTCTGCATCGTCACCAGTGTTGGCTCCTTTGTGGCTCTCTGCACTACTCACTACTGCAGCAGAAGGAAAGTGAGAAAGTGTTATGTGTTTGACCTGCTTGGCATCCAGTTTTTTTTGTTGAGTATTGATCAGAGTCGGGGGTGCAAAATGGTGCAAGTACTCCTTCAGGTCAGGGGTGCAAAAGTGCCACAAACCAGCCCAAATCTGGATTCATCCAAGTAACCCAATCTGCACGTGCACGAAGAAACTCATCTACCTGCTTCCAAACAGAACCAAGGTGCTCTAGAAACCCTTCCAATGAAAAGCGATCCAAGAAACCATCAAGTACCCCAAAGCCATTCAAACCTGGTCCAAACCCTCGGGGACTTTCACCTGACCCTCCATTCCAGTCCCCGTTCCTGTACGAGCGAAGAGCTGGACTTCGACGACTGATGGTCCCGGCTGAAGCAAGGACGAACGGTTCTCTTTCGTTGTCAGGGAAAAAAAGACTGCTGACAGAGATAGTGTATGATAGTCTATGTAATATGTGTGACTCATCTGAGTGGTGCGGCAAGCTCAACTCAAAAGGCTGGTCGAAAAAGGTGGACAGCACTGCAGCACTTGCAAGCTCGCAGAGTCTTTGAGCCGGAGGTCTTATCGAGAAATACTTCAAAGTCAGTTATATACACCTTAGTCGCAAGATCCTCAAGGATGCCCCAGTCCAACAAAGCAGGCCAAATTGAATAGATTGCAGCGACTGCAGTTCCGCACCCAAGTTGGTTGAATTGTGGGCTGAAGCCTCGCACTTTGTGTGCTTGCCTGAAGAGCCGCAAGAGCGTTGTAGACCTCTTTCAAGAACCTACAAGTAAAATACACAAGGGGGCATGTTCTGACCGCAACCGTCATTGTCTTTCATGGCTCGACTCAGGTCTTTTTGCGGCAAGAGCTGTATTTGGTTAGCGTTTGATCAGATGTGAGAATGACCATTGCGAGAGACAAAGGCCAACAGCACACATCACAAGAAAGGGGCATCACCAAGTCACAAGAGAAAAGAGAGAGAAAAGACATATAAAACCATGGAATTCTTCCGGATTCCGCCAATCCTCCAGAACGGCGAATTCCGATCAATATTAAAAAATCTTTCTTGACTTCATACTTCAACACTTCTACCACTCCTCGTGAATAGCAATGGCATAGCGCCCATCCACGAAGTTCAGGAACAAAGGCCTTGGTCTCCGGGTCCGCGGAACCGGAACCGGCAGAACCGTTCTCGAGACTCGGACGCTCCAGGGCTGAGCACCTCGGGCGTCACAGCGGTGGAGCGCGAGTTAGCTGCGTGAGTGTACCGTGAACCGAAAGAACACCCTGAGATATCCACTAAATATATCTAAATAGTGCTGTGTAAGTCAAATTACAGTATATACTTGAAAAACCTGTCTGAGTATACCCCAAAGCAACCTGAGACTAGGGAAGTAGCGTTGTCAGCAATGATTCGAGCGTGTTCTCGCATCGGCTCCAGCGCCAACAAGTCCTGCAGCGATTCGGCGCGTGACATGATCCGTAGCAAACAAGTCGCGGCGCCATCGGCGGCGCCTCATGATAGCGAGCTCCACGGTGGTCCAAAATCACCACCTAAGCGATGCACACGATCTTCAGTTCAAGTGCAATGCAAAGGGCAAATCGCTGCGGAAACAGTCTTTGAAGTAATTACAGCAGCCACATATTTAAGAAATAAAAAACTGCCTGCAACTGTGAGAATGTGAGTGTCAAACATTACCTTCAACTCGTCACAGTCATATCACTAGGGACCCAGCATCGGGAACACCAAGTTGACCAGTGGCAATCCAATCACCTGCCAGTCCGACTCTGACCTGCGACAATGCACCAGCTGGGTTGTGTGAGCTTTAGCGCAGAAGTATCTGAATCTATCTGAATCTCATTGATTTTGCAAACCTGAAAGAGCTTGGAGGGTTTTGCTTGGTTCAGAAGAGCGATTCAAACATGATGGAAGCTTCAAACTCCTCACAAGCTCCAGCAACATCAGCAATAGCTCTTTTCCTTCCACGTTACACAGCTGGAGCGGTTCCAGTCACTTCCCCAGAAGCAGCTGTACCTGGGTCCACATAGCCCATAGCAGGCAAGCCTGCGCCCACCAACGGCATCGTTGGGAACCCAGCCATTCCAGGCGCGGCTGAGACCAGCCCTGGAGTTAGACCAGGAATCATTTGTGGTTGGGCTAAGGCTGCAAGGTGTTCGGCACTCAGGCCAGGTAGGGACATGCCTCCCAAGCCCAAGCCAGGCACCAAGCCTGCTAAGCCAGGAATGCCCAAGGATAGCCCGGGAACACCTAAGGCTCCTCCTTGCAAACCAAGTGAAGCCAAATCCAAAGCAGGAGCTGCGGCGGCCGCAGGCTCATCGTCTTTCTTCCCAAGACCAAAGTCTCGCTTCAAAGGTGCTGATCCACCCGTCACATTCTTGGCCTTGAAATTGGTGGTCCCATCCTTCTTATGGCTTGGCTCTGTTTCAAAACCTTGGACACGCTGAAAACGGGACTTGGCTCTGTTTCGGTTTAAGCTATACAAGGTCTTCGCCGGATCAAATCTAATACATGCATCATCTGAAGAAGGGTTCTGCCAAATCGGAACTGCTGTCAAGATGCTAATAACGTCCCCAACCTGTCAAGCAGGCGAAGAAAACTGCCTTTGAAAATGCTAATAAGGTGCCCAAGCGATGTTCCGAAACGACTGCCCCGAGCCTGAGGCTGTGTACCTATGCAGTCTGCAATGTGCACAAAGATGTCGGCAGCCATGCCATCCAACTGAGCCAATGCTGATGAAAAAACAAAACGTGGCACCACGTAAGTGACACATGAGAACAGTTTGGCATCAAGATCAATGATTTCGGCAAGCGGGGAGCAACATGAACACAAAGGAATATGTGGCAAGAAAGGTTCTTCAGGAAACTCAAGGAAGGCAGGTTTGAGAAATGCAGACCATGAACCAAGGGCCCGGCAGCACAAAAGCCGAAGCCCTTCTCGGAATTCCACGCCTGCACAGAACTGAAAACATTCCAACTTGCCCTGCACTCTCCCTCAAATGACAGGTCTATCAAGCATTACTGCATTCACCAATACCAGAAGTTAAAAGCACATACAGTATATGTTTATATTTATATAGTTGTATAATTACTATATAGTCAATAGATGTCAATAGTTTGCAACACGTCCATCACAAAAGCCATCATGAAGGCTTGTAAACATCCATGGCTTGCTACACAGGAGATAATTTTCAATCATCGTGGGCATCAAATAACCACATCCGGCGATCCGGCCTTCATGACTCCTTGATATCGACCATCTGGTCCAACCGGTGGCAAGGTGCTGCTGGATGTCTTTGTCCCTGGAGACCATCTGTCTCTCTTGGAACGTCAAATGCAGCGTCTTTGATTTGAGACGGACATGTTTGGGCACACTGCACCTGCAGAGTAGGGCCCGCTCAAGGAAGCGGCGCCTCAGGCAGGATCAATGCTGCCGTCTCTTTGCAAGTCGGTCATTGACAGCCAGACTCACAAAATAACACTTCATGAGGGAGGTTGATACGTATGGTTAACCCTCGAGCAGTCCTGAGTCAAGGCGGGCCAGGGGTGTGAGTAGCCCACAGAACATACAAAAGCACGTCGCCACCCCGATTTTGCAATCAATTCCTAGCATTGGAGCGCCTGGTTGATGCAACATCTTCAGAGGGTCAGAATTGGTGTTGCACAGTGCTCGATCTCTCATCCAACTGAAGGAATAGAGAGAGAGAGAGAACCGCAGGTGTTCCACTTGAGGCCAGAGGGGGTGAACGAAAGCTAGCCGGGCTTCCGGTGGTCTGCTGCTGGTGCTGCTGCTGCTGGTGCTGCTGCTGCCGCTGCTGCGCTGGGCGCTGCTGCGCTGGGTGCTCTGCAGGCGCCGGGTCGTCTGCTGCTGCTGCTGCTGGCGCTGGGTGGTCTGCTGCGGCTGCTGCTGCCGCGGCGTTGGGTATGCTGCTGCCGCTGCTGCGCTGGGCGCTGCAGATGCTTGGTGTGCTGGAGGTGCGGGGTGGCGGCGGGCGGGGCGGGGGGGGGGGGGGAGGGGGGGGGGGGGGGGGGGTATGATAGAAAAACTTGTACTATGTGTCGTGGACCGTTTCTCAAACAAAAAAGAAAATATAGCTCAGCGTATACAGCCGTATACATTTCACAAATTGCAAACATTAACTAAATCACATTTTTAGTCTTTTATTTGTTTTACTTTTCCGAATTTATTTTTAAATATGTTGGGTTTACCGGAGGTTTGGAAACAATTAAAAATTTGTTTATTTATTTCATTTTATTTGTTTTATCTATTTGTA